TTTAGAATGTTCTTTAATTGGTATTTGATACAGACACGGCCATACCCCAGCCAGAATCCTAAGACCCTTTTCTCTTCTTTTTAGAACTTCATCAAAGTAAACTTGAATAACCTACTAAATGCCGATTTTCTATTAGAACTCTTCCATCTAAAAGATTTTAATAGCAAGAGTGTTTCTATAGGATCATACAGTAAACTGAGTTAACATTTATACTTATTTTTCTTTATAACTCCTCTAATAATAGAATTAGGTTAGAGCATACAGCGTAGATCTGAGTTCAATTATTGACACCATATGTCATCATGGAAAGGAGTAAGTTATTTATCTGTTATAAAAAGGACTGCCTAACTTTCTTTAAGAGGGAATTGTAACTGTAACCAATCTCAGTGAGTTTTTAAAGTTATTTTAAAAAGAAGTAAATTTTGAAATTTATTTAGATCATTATTTTGCTCTTGTTAATTGCTAATCACTTAGGGAAGGCATGGATTTTTCCCCAAATGACACATTACCTTTACATAATTATTTTTGAAATAGGCAAAAAAAAAGTGTAGATTTTTTTTTCATTGAAGAAGGCTAGTTCTCCAAATAGAATTTATAACTACTCATAAGTATTCAACAGAACCAGGAGGGACAGTACAGCATATGGTAAAACAAAACCACGTCTGATAGCAGTAGAATCTGAAAACAGTTGTAGGCAGTTATAAATAAGTGTCTAGCACTTTCTCATGCAGCATACCAACTCATTAAATATGTACCCAATTGATTTGACATTTTAAGAATTAGTGAAAATCTGTACATATAAAAATTGCATTGATTTCATTCCCATTCATTCAATCAACAAATATTGATGATGTCATAGATGTCAGACATGGCATTAATTGGTATGATACAAACATGAATATGACTCATACTTCGATTTCGAGGAACTCTAAGCCAAGGGACAGTTTGAAACATCAAATAAAACATAGCACACCAATTTTCTTATTGATCACTTAAGATAAATGTTTTTAAGTTTACCTACAATGCTGAAATGTCAAATATTTCCATTTCCGTCTTGAATTAATAAGAAAAGCACTCAGCAAACTATTAGAAGCAATTTCCTGAGAAAAGCAACTTTTAAGATGTACAATAATGTCACGAGTGATACAGACCAATATTCTGCAACCTTTGTATCCATAGTACTTTATTGATTTTCAATATGCACAACCGGGACCAAGAGGCATATCAAGACACTCAAGTACCTTCTGAATCATCTTGGATTGATTAAATGCAATGTAGTTCATGATTAATTGAGAGTATACCAGAGGTATATTGCCCTTTAGGGTTTCGCTCTGTGCTGGAAAGGAGTGAGAATCACAGTGAATGGGACCTGTAATAGAAATGAAGCAAACTCTTAACATCCCACCCCACCACCCCCATACCCATACCATCTTTAAAATCCTTCAGAAGTTCTAACTTGGGGAAGGTTATTATACTAATATGGTTTAGAATGTCCTCTGTGTTCTCACCAGTCTCTCTCGTCCTACTTCTCATTAGCCTTATTACTCACTCTTTGGTTCTCCCTCTTCTCCATTACAAATGGCAGAGTTAGTGCCATTTCTTGCCATAATTTATTTTGCTATAGAGCCTGCTAATATATCCTGGCAGTTACTTATCCCTGGAATGTTTATAATACCTGCTTCTTTTCACTTAGGTCATTGTTCTCATACTTCAAGTCAACTGAACTTCCTATCATTTATTCATAATCATGTTGCATCTTTCAGCCACAGGCCTTTTGCATAAGTTTTCTATTCTGTCTAAATATCATTGTATTCACTCCATCCTCTCCTTTATCTAGATTTCTATAGACATTCCACATCAGTCATCACTTTTTCAAGGATTTTATTTGGGCCTTGATAATTATAACAAAACCCATTATGTTCTCTCATAATCCAATGGCTTTCTTTTATTTATCATAGCAATAGATTAATTTCTGTGACTTTCTAAATAATTGTATCCTTCACCAGAATATAAGGTCCTTAGAAAACAGATTTTTTTTTCTACTTTTACTTTCTGGGGTAGACACTCAATACATTTTTGTAGACCAAACTAATGTCTACATTTATTTGGTAAATCACACAAAATAGGTTTATAAGCTTAAAGTCATAGGGGTGACATAGCCCTTTACCTTTAATTTTCACATCATCTTTTTTTTTATTAGTTGCTCAAGACAATACAATGATCTTGACATATCAAAGATTTGAATCCAATGGGATATTAATTCTCATTTTTCTTCGTGTATAGATTGCAGGATCACATTGGTTATACATACATGTGTATACATACAGCAATCCTAGTATCAGTTGTATTCTGCTCACATCATCTTTATTTTATAATCCTTTTAGAATATAATTTCTACCTGATGTCAGAATTAGGGGAAAAGTTATCTTAATATATTTACTAGACATTTAATAAAATGTTTTATTTATTTAAGCTTTCATAAATTTTGACCCAATGAATTCCCATAAGGGAAATTTTTCAACTTTATTCTCATATATAGTGATGATGCTTTGTGATAGCAGTGTTATTGGTTTAAAAAGTTTTGTTTTTATATTTTCTGTAAAATCTTAGCTTTTTTCCTTACTATATTAAGGCGAATTTGTTTTTGTCTCATTTTTTCAAAATAACTTGAGGTTGTGAAGGAATTGTATAAATTGTTAAATGAAATCACAGATCAGTGATTTGGGTCTAGCTCTATGTGTTTTAGGAATGTCAAATAAATGTTGCTGCAATTTTTAAACAAAATATTGTATTTATCAAATCTCCATAATTCAAACCTGTCTTAATTAAGAGATATCTTCTTAAAATATTTTGTACATGCATTAAATAGTATTAACTCAGTGAAGAGGGGATACATAAACTAAAATAAAATTGAAAGCAATAAAGGCATATAAAGAAAGTAGAAGCCAATAGTTTGGCCTAGATTGGAAAACTCTTTATCAGTACAGATGAATATATTTGTAAAGAGAATATCTGGACCAAAAACTACTGAGGGTTTTCTTTTCCCCTAATAAGATGAAATTCAAGCTGGGGCTGTGGGCACATAACTGTAATTCCAGTGGCTCAGGAGGCTGAGGCAGGAGGATCTAGAGTTCAAAGCCAGACTCAGCAAATGATGCACTAAATAACTCAGTGAGACTGTCTCTAAATAAAATACAAAATGGGGCTGAGGATGTAGCTCAGTAGTCAAATGACCTCAAATGGTTCAATCCTCGGTTCCAAAAAATAAATAAATATTAAAAAAATTCTCTCTCTCTCTCTCTCTCTCCCTAAAAAAAAAAAAAAAAAAAAGATGAAATTCACAGTATTACACAGATATATCTGTTCCAAATAGATATGTAATTTCTGAATAACTGTGACATCACATTTCTCATGAAAATGTGAGTCACTTAGTTACAGGTAGATAGATACTTGTTTCCAGTGGCTTTAGAATATGTTGGAACCCATGGTGACATCCCCAGATCCTGGTGAGATTGGCTTTGACATATTAGGGATTCCTCTCAGAGAAGATGCATAGAATGAAGGCCTCATCAGTCACCCTTGAATCACATGTTCTTTTCAGCTAATAAGGAAAATATTGATATTAGTCTTACAGTCTATTGATATGGTACGGTTGCTAAGGGCCTGAGAAATTATTGATATCATTATCTCTTTCAGATGACATACTTAACAGACACAAAAAGTAAATTCAGGATTTTTAATCAACTAAATTAGGGCATTATAGCTAAGGATATCGTTATTTGGAAGCTAGACCTGCTGGCTCTGGTTCTCAAAACCCTATTTTTCGTTATATGCTTCTTAACTTAGTTTAACTGGCCCAGTTGAGAATTGCTTAGCCTGTTAAAATATTGCTCATCTAAATAGGAAAAAATAGTCTTTATAAAGAGCTTAATGTGAATGGCAGATTTATTTTTCTTCTATACTTTAGTGAATATACTTTGTAGTCTTTGTTTTTCCCCTTTTAAGGCTGTTCTCTACCATATTTTTAGTTAAGGACAGATTGAGTTTTGAAATGTTTATTAAAAACCTCAATACAGAGAAGATACCACCTTACTAAAATAGTTTGTTTTACATACTTAATTGATGCTGTTGTTCAAATAAATGAAGAAATACTAACTACATGTTTCTGTGTTCTATCAGTAACCTCATTTTATTATTTATTTCAGTTATTACCAATAAGTCTTATTTTCCTAAAAAAATGGTATTTGAAGAAAAATATAGTGACATCAAAATGATATGTATATATTTAAAGTTTTAAAAGCACTGTTATTTTTTTTTATAAAACAAGTAGAAAAAGCAATATAGTTACTCCCTGTCACCCACCACCACCCTTGCTCACACATGCACACACCCCATATTACCTTTTGTGTATATTCTTTCATATATATATATATATATATATATATAAAATATATATATATATATAATTGTAATTCTATGTGGAATTTTTTTAATTGTAATACTATGTGGAATTTTTAATGACCCCATATCATTTATTGATCCATAGTGAGCTTGTTTAAGGCCTGAAGAGGATTTGACAATATCTTCAGAAAATTAGTAAAAAATAAATTTACAGCACAACAGTCTTAAATGTTGTCTATTTGAAAAGAAATTTTTAATTATGTTTTATATTGTCAGGTGACTCATAATATATTTAAACACCATTTATCTGATCTGCATATTTCTAACTTTAGGCTTTATTTTAATATCTTTATTTCTATTTATTACCAAGAAATATATAAGTAAATATTTTTTCTGATTTTTTTTTCTGTTGGTCACTTTAAGTAAGTTTAGCTACGGTTTTTAAGCTCTATTGATATTCTTGACATTAGTAAAGAAAATCTAAAATTAACTACAATCATAAAATAGAACTGCTAGTATATTCCATTGTGATACTCTGTAGGACAAAAGCAATTTGACAGTGTTACCTCAATTATAAACTCTCCAACTAAGGTTTTTACCTGGTTTCCAGTTGTGTTAGAAATGCCTATTTCTTTTTACTTGTTCTCCTTTTTCCTTCTTAGAGGAACTGACTAAAAAGGGCGGTGCCTACTTCATGCTAAATGACCTCATGGAGACTCGTTGGCTTATAGATGAACCCTGGAATATAGGAAACAAGAGATGGTGATATTTAGTCCATCAGAATGGCAGATCTGTACGAATGGGTCAATAACGTTCTGCTGTTTATATTTTAGGAGCTGATTCCTAACCTTTTAGATAGTGTTACTGAACACTTCTTTTGTTTTCATATGAATTATACCTTTTTTATTGTGGTAAAATATACAGTTATGAAATAGACGTGATGTCCCCCAAAAGCTCATGTGTGATATAATGCAAGAAAGTTTTGAGGAGAAATGCTTGGGATACAGCCTCAACCTAATCAGTGGATTGATCTCTAATGGGAATTACTGAGTGGTAACTGGAGGCAGGTGGGGTGTGGCTGGAGGAAATGATTCACTGTGGGTGTAGCTATGGGGTATATATTTGTATCTAGTCAGTAGAGTCTCTCTCTCTCTCTCTCTCTCTCTCTCTCTCTCTCTGCTTTCTGATCATGATGTGACCTCCTTCTCTCTGCCACACTCTCCCACCATGATGTTCAGCCTCACCTGGAACCCTGAGGAATGGAAATAGTCTTCTATGGACTAAGACCTCTGAAACCGTAAGCTCTCAAATAAACTTTTCCTTCTCTATAGTTGTTCTGGTCTGGTCTTTAGTTACAGTAGCTAGAAAGCTGACTAAAACATTTAAAAAATATAGAATTCATTGTTTTAACCTTTTTTAGGTATAGTTTAATGGCAGAAAGTATAATCATATTATTGCTGAACAACCATCCCTTTCTAAAACCTTTTCATCTACCCTAATTGACCTTTGTACCATTAAACAATTGCTCCCCAATGCCTTTTTCTCTGAAGTTCTTGGAAACTACTGTGTTGTTTCCTGTCTATGAATTGGATGACTGTGGTATCTCATATAAGTGGAATCACCCAATATTTTGTCCTTTTGTATCTAGCTTATTTCACTCAATCTGTTCAAATTCCATCTGTGTAATAGCATGTGTCAGATTTCATTCCTTTTTTCAAACTGATACTATTCCATTACTGATGTGGGACACATTTTGTCTATCCATTAATTCTCACATGGATATTTGAGTTCTTTACATCTTTGGCTACAGCAAATGATGCCGCTATGAACATTGGAATACCAATATCTGTGCTTTCAATTCTTGGGATATTTTTCTGGAAATGGAATTGCTGGATCAAGTGGTAATTCTATATTCCACTGTTTTAGGAATCATCAAACTATTGAGACATATTATTTTAAACACATGCTTCTTCAGCTAAGACACCTTAGAGCTTATTTACCTTTGAAACTAAACAATAGTTCAGCACAGGAACTAATGCAATGGGGATATGTAAAATAAATCTTTGCATTGCACAGATGGCAGACAGAGGACCTGATCTCAGGTTAGGCTGGTAATAATTCTCTGCTGCATAAATAGCAACAGAGCTCTTCTTAAATAAAAACTGGGTGTCAATTAATCATTTCCTTTTTCCCTGACAAGGCAAAGAAAGGGTGAGTTAAGAAGGCTTTTTGTAGTCATCCAAACAGGAGATAGTGGTGCAGATAGCATGTCAGAAATCAGGATGAAGAAATATTTGAAAACTAGAGTTGGCAAAATTAGTTTCCTGGAAGTAGCATAAATGGCATATTAAAAAAATACAATGCTCAGGTATATTTTTTTAATTCAAATCCCGACTTCATTATTTACTAAATCTGTGACCTGGGCAAGTTACTTAAACTTCCTGTGTCAAAATTTCCTCATTTATAACATGAGAATAATATTGTTATCTACTTCACTGGTATTTATAAGAATTAAATGAAGCAAATAATAATTCTTTTAGAAAAGTGAAACCTAGAGAGAACTAAACAAATTTGTTGATTAAATATATTTGGAAGAGAAAGACATTACTATTACTACCCAGGTTTATGGTAAGAAGATTGAATGATACCATTTATCATGATAGAAAGCAATAAAAGATAAATTTCTATAAGGAGCATATTGAATTTGCCTGTGAAATACATAAGCTGGAACTTTAAGTGAAAATTAGAATACAGAAGCATGAAAACTCAGAAATAGATCAAACCTGGACTCAAAACTTGGAGATTAACTAGTATACAGATTACATATAAAAATCTATAAGGAAAAATTATCTTCTCACATGAGAAGTGAGCCTAGTAGTGAGTCCCCAAAACTTCCAAAATACCATTTAAAAACAAATAGTTTTAATCTAACAAAGAATAGATTCACCTCTAAATTTCAAAAATATCAGTAGTTCTTTTCACCTAGTCTTTAAAAGGTGGCTACCATTCAGATAACAATCTTTTATATATATATATATATACACATACACACACACACACACACACACACATCTGGCATTATATAAGAGATTGCATTAAATATAAATATGAATTAACATAATATAAAGCAAGGGGGTTCAGCTCTCAAATGACATCAGTGTTGTAGAATAAACCAGTCAATGTACATTTTGCTGAGATTTTGGACCAGATAATCATGTAAAAATGGGACTAGCTAGGTAAGCAAGAACTCCTTGGCATACATATTTACAGTTGGACTATTGCAAAAGCAGTTTTTCAGGGCCTAAATTAAAAGAAAATCTGTATTTACATGAGAACACTTGGCCATCCTCTGTACGCATTATGTACCCAGACTTGCTGTAGTCATCTTATTAGAGTAAGGTGAAAAACAACACTGGGGTCAGCTGTTTGCCTTCAAACTTGCCAGGGCAGAATACATAAGGTGGCTTGAAAATCAATTTCTGCCTAAGAGTTAACACAATTCTGTGAAAAGAAGAATGTGAGAAAAGTGAACATTTACAGAATAACAAAAGCTCCTCTTGTAGAAAATCTTCATGTCATTGGACCACAAAGATTGGCTGAAGTGTATTTTTACATATGGTGAGGGACTACAGACTGTTGGTATAGCTACTTGGGACTTGTGGAACTTAAGTTGTTTAAAAAAAATGATTATTTTGCTCAAGGAAAACAAAGCAAAAATATAGTCAACACTTTAGTGATTTTAATTTAATTTAATTTTAATTTTAATGTGAGATACATAAGCTGCAACTTTAAGTGAAAATTAAAATACAAAAGCATGAAAACTCAAGAAATAGATCAAACCTGGACTCAAGATTTGGAGATTAATTAGTATATAGATTACATATAAAAACCTATAATGAAAAATTATCTTCTCACATGAGAAGAGAGCCTAGTATTGAGACCCCAAAACTGCCAAAATACCTTTTAGAACCAAATAATTTTAATCTAACAAAAAAATGGATTCACCTCTAAATTTCAAAAGTATCAGTAGGCCACGCTTTCTTTAGGTTCCGCCAATGTGTAATATTCTTTACAAATATTACCTGCCACTGGAAATTCAAATATCAATATATTAATTTCACAATCACCCATGCCAAAAATCAATCTGATGATATTAATGATAGGATACAGCAAAATGATTTGGAATAGGCTTCTATAATCATTCTGATAAAGGTTCCATTTCCATATTTCCCAACTCAATCACTGTGTGAACCCCCCCCCCCCAACACTAGCTGCTTTATCCTTCTAAACTTGTTTCCTGTATGGAAGGGAAGTCATCTCCTAAGGATGTTATGCAGATAAAAGAAAGAAGGAATATGAAGCAATTAGCACAGTGCATTGTTGTGTTAGTCAGGAAGGCCCTCAAGGACACCCATGTCCTAATCCCTGGAATCTGTGATTACAAAATATTACTTGCCAAAGAGAACTTTGCAAACCAATTAAATGAATGTTCTTGAGATAAAGATATTATTCAAATTATATAGGCTGGCACAATATAACATAAAAAGTTCCCTTAAGAAGGATGAAGGAAATTAATTGGGGAAGGAATGTGAGGATGAAAGCTTGAGGTGAACTGAAACAGGGTCGTTCGCCAAATGATGTCAGGCTGCCACTACAGGCTGGAAAAGACAAGGATTCTGCCCTGGAATCTCCAGAAGAAATATAGTTGTGCAGACTCTTTTTTAGATGTAGGTTAGTGAACTTCATGTTACTATAAATAAATACCAAGAAAATTAACCTAAAAAGGGAGAAGGCTTGTTTTGGCTCATGGTTTTAGGGATTCCAGTTCAAGAAGTGGGGTATGCTTTGCTTTGGTTCTCCAACAAGGCAGCACATTACAGAGAGAGAATGCGTCAGAGCAAACTGGTTGCCTCTTGGCCAGGAAGCAACAGAGAAAGAAGAACAAACTGGAGTCCCACAATCCCCATCAGAGTCTGGCCTCCAGTGACCTAAGGACCTTCCATAGGGCCACATTTCCTATAGGTCCTGCCATCTCCCAATAATGCTACCTTAGGGACTAAGTCTTTGTCAATATTAACCGTTGAGAGACATTCATTAGCCAAACTATAGCAATTTCTGATTTTTAGAACTATACCATAATAAATTTATATAGTTCCATGCTAGCAAATTTGTGATAATTTGTTACAGCAGCAAGAGAAAATTAGTATACTAACATAATAATTTGTAAATAAATGTTAGTTGAAAATATTGAAAAAATACTGTTATATAGGATGAGGGATTTACATTTTAACAGAAGGAAATTTTTCATGAATATATTTAAATACATTTCTATTATCAAAGGTAAACATGTAAAAATATTTAAAAATACAAGGAAAAGTAAAACTATCCTTTCTGTTCTGAAATATGAATTTCTGTATATATCCTTGATTTGCCAAAATAGTCTACCCTGGAGTCTATTTTATACATAATTTAAGGATTTTTATGGATATATTTCCAGTTTTCCCTCTACTTTTGTTTGTGTAGTTGTTGTCATGTCTTGGTGTTCTCTCTCTCTCTCTCTCTCTCTCTCTCTCTCTCTCTCTCTCCCTCCCTCCCTACATCCATACACACATACACACACACACACACACACACACACACACACACACATACACAATCATTTGGCTTCTTTACATGCATAGATATATGGATACATCAATGTGTATATAGATGTATCACCACAATATATTTAAATTTTA